GCTGGGTCATATGGAAGCTCTATTTTTAAGTTTTTGAGGAACCTCCATTCTCTTCTCCACAGTGGCTGCACCAATTTACATTCTCACCAACAGTGCGCAAGAGTTCCATTTTCTCCACATCTTCCCAACATTTCTTGTTTCTTATCTCTCTGATAATAGCCATTCTGACATGTGTGAAGTGGTATCTCATTGTTGTTTTCAGATGCATTTCCCTGACAATTAGTGATGTTGAGTATCTTTTCATGTACCTGTTGACAATCTGTATGTCTTCTTTAGATCCTCTGCTCGTTTCAGATCCTCTGCTCATTTTTTAATCAATTTTTCTTTCTCTATTGAATTGTATGCATCCTTTGTATATTTTGCATATCAACCCCTTGTCAGATATATGATTTGCAAATATTTTCTTGCATTTGTAGGTTGCATTTTTATTTTGCTGTAGTTTCCTTTTCTGTGCAGGAGGTCTTTAGTTAATGTAGTTCACTTGTCTTTTTTTTGCTTTTGTTACTATTAATTTCTCTGTCAGATTAAAAAATCATCATTAAGACCAATGTCAAGGAACTTACTGCCTGTTTTCTTCTAAGAGTTTTATGGTTTCAGATCTGACATTCAAGTGTCTAACCCATTTTGAGTTCCTTGTTGTATATGGTGTCAGATAGTGGTCTAGTTTTATTCTTTTTCATGTGGCTGTCCTGTTTTCCCAACACTATTTGTTGAAGAGACTGTCCTTTTTCCATTGTATATTCTTGGCTCCTTTGTTGTAAATTAATTGACCATATATTTATTTTTAGTTCTGGGTTTGTGAGTCTTTCATATTCTTACATTAATAAACCAGAAAAAGAAAGCATTTATTTGAATACAATGAGATGAATAGCACATTAGAAAAAGCCCGAGTTTTTGGAGTCAAACAGAGATGAGGTCAAACCCAGACTCTGCTACTAGTTAACTGTGCGACTGTAGGTGGGTGACTTGACCTCTCTGTTTTTCACTTTCATAAGAAGGAATAAAACACCTGCTTGGCAAGATTGTTGTGAAGAATTTTTACCCATCAATTTCATCAACGTTTCAAGCATTTATAAATCCTACTATCCTATAAAACAAATATTGAAATAAATAAAACTCTCTTGCATCTAGTTATGCTATAGTTCATCAACATCTCAAAAGTGTGGCACCAGAATTAAACAAAAATATGATAAAATGTTAGGCGATAAGCTCCTCAAGTCCTCGATTGTCTTTATTACCATGCAGCACTGGCCAGCTAGCACTTCTGGGAGGTGCTAGGTAAGTGTGTGTTGGATGGCTAGACTCTGTGAACATGAGTCAGTACATAGTAAGAGCAGGACTGGTTATCTTCAGTGATCTGGTTACTAGAATTGCTTATTGAAAACTGAACAGCAGCCATGAGGATTCAGAAAATGCTCATTTCTAGTATCCTTCACTGTGGCAAAAAGAAGGTCTTGGTTGGAACCCAGTGGGACAAATGAAATTGCCAATGCCAACTCCTATCAGTGGATCTGGAAGCTAATCAAAGATGGGCTGATCACTCAGAAGCCTGTAACTGCCCATTCCCATGCTCAGTGCTGAAGAAACACCTTGCCCTGCTGTAAAGGCAAGTATAACGGGCATGAGTATGCAAAGGGCACTCTCAAATGCCTGAGAATGCAGCCTGGGTGAGAATTCAGAGCTGGCTGCTTAGAAGATATGGTGAATATAAGACTCCCCACCACAGGTATCGCAGCCTGTACCTGAAAGAGAAGGGGAATGTGTTTAAAAACAAGCTTTCTTTTTTTTTTTCTTTTTCTTTTTAATGTTTATTTATTTATTTGGAGAAAGAGATAGAGAGTGAGCAGAGGAGGGGCAGAGAGAGAAGGTGACAGAATCCCAAGCAGGTTCCACTCTGTCAGTGCAGAGCCCAGTGCGTGACTTGAAGCCATAAACTGTGAGATCATGACCCAAGTCAAAATCAAGAGTCAGACGCTTAACCGACTAAGCCATCCAGGTGCCCCAAAACAAGCTGATTCTTAAGGGACACATCCACAAGCTGAAGGCTGACCAGGCTGAGGCTCATAGGAAGCACCTCAGTGCTGTGAGGAACAGCTCCAGGTAAAGAGATCAAGACTGAAACCAAGAACTGAAGCTCCCCCTGTTTTGTCTGTACATGTGGCCTCAGCAATTCTGTAGCTCCATCATTATCCAATAAAATAAGCCATTATCTGTCTGAGGGGTCAAAAGTGAACTGCATTTGTTTTTCTGCCAACTCTTTAATTCAACCAATTAAAAAATCTGAGTCTTTCAATAAGCTCTCCCTCTTTCTGTTTATGGATTATTAAATTACTGAACTGAAACATAGGATTTCACATTCATCTTTAGTTACAGTTTATCATATTAACTTTAGCCAATTTGATTTTACCTGTTGAGTTCTATTGGCCCCTAATCTGTCATTATGTATGCTAAGTGATTAAAGTGTCCAACTCTATTCACCCAAAATGTTGACTTAAGAAAAATAAAAGGAAAAGAAGATAGGATGGAGTATAATGCCTTGTAATTTGTCACCAGAGCCTTATGCTAAGCGGTTCCCAATCCAATAAACAGCATCTCTGATTTTCAGATGCTGATGGGGGTAATTATATCATCATCTAGTGCAAATTCTTGCATCCTTCCACCAAGACATAAACGCCTTTGGTTGTATTTTGGCACTTCTCTCCATTATTCTTTAAATATTACCAATAGTGCTTTTCTTAAGTTACTTCCAGAAATCATTATTTCACCCAAAGAGTAAAGTTCACTTAGACTTGGACATGTGCCCTGACTTAAATTATTTAGGTACTCTTTTATTCCCTCCTACACTATTTAGACTTCCCTCCTACTTCTTATGTCCCTACTATGCTGCTTGTATTTCTCTATTAACATTTGAGATTTGTTGGTGTTAGCTTTAAATATATATATATATATGTGTGTGTGTATATATATATATATGTGTGTGTGTGTGTGTATATATATATGTGTGTGTGTGTATATATATATGTATATATATATATATTCCTAACCCTCAACACACACGAAAATTTATATTTCCTGATACTTTTTTACATTTTCACTCCTGTCATGTATTTGTCTTCCATCTTTTTGTATTTGCCCTTTAAACATTTGACCATTTACTTACTGTTTCATAGTGAATGAATAGCTATTGGCAACCTGCGATGTCCTGGTCTTTCCTAGATGATGGCCAAGTCATGACCCAAGCGACTACTTTCAAGGAGCTCATACACTAATAGAGAAGACATACAAGTAAGCAAGCAGTTGCAAAGGTGTGGAAAGAATTACTATAACCAAGGTATGCAAAGCGGGGGATGCTAAACCCAAACTGTAAAAGCCAGAAAACATGTTTTGGAGGATATGACAGCCATGCTAAGTCTGGAAGTAGAGGCTGCAGGATATATGTGCAGGCACAAGGATTTCTGTAGATACCATCCCTTTCTTTCTCACCAGACTCATGTGTGAATCTTAGCGTCAAGGCTTACTATTGAGCTATTTCAAGAAATTACCTCACTCATTTACTCTTTCACCCATGAACACTTTTTAAAGACCCACTCAGTGTCTGGGATTGTTAAATATTGTCTTTTCTTTCAAAGACCTATGACGGAATTCCCTGCTTTCTCCCTCCCACGTGATTTTTGGGAACTTTTGAAATCTGCTTTTCCAAAGTGCAAAGTACTCATTCGGTTCTGTCCATTGTTCCTTTCTTGACAAGCAACAACTTTAAACTTTTAGGTTCCTTTTTACTTTCAAATTGTTCAGTCACTATAATTCACTGAGTGCTTTCTATGGGCCACGGCACTTTATTATATGCTCTGGGAGATACAAAGATGACTGAAATGTAGGCTCTCTCCTCATGAGACTGAAAACGAATAGGGACAACATGTGCACAAAGAACACAATAAATGCTCCACTAAAGATATTTTATTTTTAAGATAAAAATTTCTTGATTAGCCTTGCTTCTTTCTTAATCATCAGGAAGATGATAAGGTGAACTAACAGGACAGAAAGTGTGAATTAGGTTTAAAAAAACTTTAAGAGGAGTTATCTAATTAAAAAAAAAAGTGTCTTTGTATTTCCAGCACATTCCAGGGGAAAGGGCACATAGACCAGTCTGATCACTTTCTATAATTCAAAAGTCAATTCATTAGGTTACCCAAATTTAATGATGGTATAATCAAATTATATTTAAAAATACATATAGGAACTACAGTGTTACCCATGGACTTTCACTTCTACATTATATATTATAATTTTGGAATACTTTATAATGATCATACACTACATTTATAATTAGAAAACAAATGATATGTTCATAAATATGTATGTGGAGCTTCCATTAGGGAAAAGCATTGTGTTAATTCTCTAGAAAGGTTTTATTAGGTTACTTTTAAAAATGAAAATATAGAGAGAGATTATAGAAGCTTGAGAAAATATGAAAAATAAAAAAAAGAAAAAAATCACCTGTAAAGCTCCCATATTCACACAACTGTTACTGATGTTGATGTTGTATTTCTTTCCTCCCTTTTTTTTCTATATATTGGCAAGTTTGTTTTTAAGTGATCAGATGGTAATGTTTTTTAATAATGTTTAACCCACAAGAGCAGGAACATTTTGTTCATACATACCAGTTCTGTGTTTTGGAATGGCAGCATTATGGAATATTTACATGAAAAGATGTTATAGATAACCTAGAAATTATCCAACTCTCATATTATGTCCGTGTAAATAAGATCTTTATCTTCCAAATTTACTGTTTTGGAAATGGGGTCATATTAAAGTAATAGCCCAGATTTTATTGTCACTTTTCCCCATCTGTTCACACAGGACCCTAATCTCCTGAAGTTTCCCCAAATTCTTTTGGGATTTCTGGCAATATGTTACACATACTATGAGCACCACCAGTTGACCATGTGGTTAGCTGTCATTTTCTTTCCTCTTCCCCAGCTCTAACCTTTGCAGGCCAGATGTTGCTGAGCGCCCTGGCACTGCTACATTCCCAGTCTGCTGCCATGGAGGGTCTGGAAGCCCTGACAGGCCAGAGCAGTGCAGGGGTGTGGAGAAGCAGCGTGGAAGGCCCCCTTCTCCTCTCCTAGTAGAGGGCTCCTCAGCAGTGCCATAAGTGTTCCATGTCTTGGCACCTTAGCTATTCAAAATGTGGCAGACTTTGCTACTCAGTAGCATTTGGCAGTCTTTTTAGAAATGCAGAATCTCAGGGTGTCTGGGTGGCTCAGATAGTTGAGCATCCAACTCTCATTTTCTGCTCAGGTCATGATCCCAGAGTCGTGGGATTGAGCTCCATGTCGGGCTCCTAAGATTCTCTCTCCCTCTGCTTTCTCCCCTCCTGGTGTATACTCTCTCCCTGAAAGACAGACAGACAGACAGACAGAAAGAAAGAAAGAAAGAAAGAAAGAAAGAAAGAAAGAAAGAAAGAGAGAAAGAAAGAAAAGTAGAAAGAAAGAAAAAGGAAGGAAGGAAGGAAGAAGGAAGGAAAGGAAGGAAGGAAGGAATGGAGAAAAGAAATGCAGAATCTCAGGCTCCAAAATCAGAATGCGCATTTTAACAAGAACCCCAGGTGATTCATATTCAAATAACAGTTTGAGAAGCACCTAAAGTACTTCTCTGGGATTAAAGGCATGAATTCAAGTGGCGACAAAGGCAATGTTGGGTCAGGGAACAAAAGTGACAAATGATAGGACTTTTTATAATGATTCCTTCCCTTTGATGACCTTATCTTTGTGATTGGGCCAAACTTGGAATGCTTGGGTCCTTCTCTTAGGAAGACCTCTCCCTTGGGAGATGCTCTCACTCCTTACTGCCTCATAGAGTTTTGATGACCTGTCACGTCTATTTCAGCTCAACTAAACATGGCTTAGGCTCAAACTAAGAATCCACCAGACCATGAGAAATTTTACAGGGCTGCACATATAAAATATATTTTTATTTAGTAAATGTTGACTTAGTACCTATTATTTACAAAATACTTCATTATGGGCTGTGGGAATACCAAAATAAGTAAAACAGTCTCTGCCCTCCAAGGAGGCAAATAAAGAAGGTGTGTGATGAGACAGGTAGGGACTTTTGAGGACAGTTTGAGGAAGGAGCCAAAAGGTTGCTCAACCAAGCAGTCTTCTGAAGTTTGGAGAAACCACTGTATATCTTGTCCCTATAGCCTCTGTGTGTCTGTTCTCCAGGTGGACGCCCTGCTTCCATTTCCGTTTCTCTACATTTTACCCACCCTCCAAGGCCAATTTCAAATGTCAGTTTATGAATAAAATCTGCCCCAATCCTCTCAGCTAAATGTGCTTTTGACACTTTAGAACTCCCATCATATCCTGCCATTAGATCAGTTGTGTGTGTTGAGACCTTACGGGGTGGGGGATATGTCATCTATTAGGCAAGGAATGTATTTTAGTCAGTCTTCCTAGATTCCCCACAGGACCTAGCATGATGTGCCATAAATAGTTTTTGAAGAAAGAAGAAAATGAAATGTAATGCAGCTACTCTGTTAATGTTTCCCTGTTCAGGAAATGTATTAACTTTCTCATATTCAGAGTGAATGTGAGGGAGAAAACTGAACGCTGCTGGGTTAGGAGGATTAGGGTTCCTGCCCCCCACCCCCATTTTTCTTAGGTCAGACTGGTGTTTTCATGCAGAAACAACATCCTCATTGGTAGATTAGTAGCTGTTAATCTCAGCTGGATGGAATTTCATCTAGTTTTCAGCTGGATGGAAGTGGGCTGGCTATATGCCTGTTGGTATTTAAGAAGTCTCCTACCTTAACGGGTAGCCCTTTTTATGCCTGGTTTCCTCTAAAGCTGAGATGGGATCCCAGGCTCAAAAACTCCTCTCTGAGGCCTGTAGGGTTGCTGTTAATTATCTAGCATCTTATGAGCTGAATGTCAGTGATGCTTATTTAACTATGGTTAGTATGAGTTTTTGAGGCTCTGGGAGGGAGGTTTTAGCTCTGGTTGGGGTGATGACATATCGTCTATATCTTTAGTAATGCTAGCTATTGCATGTTTGTGGGTTGATACTAGATGAGACAGTAACTTAGAGGCTAGGGTTTTGCCGCACTGAGGCCCAATGATTCAGAGCTGCGATTACAAACTATGGGAGGTGATAGGGAGAATCACAGTGCTTTCTTGTGGCTTCCCAATGCTATATGAGCATCAACTATGTGGAAAAACGAAATAAGCAATTTTTCACCCATATAGTCTTAGAGAGTTAATGTAGATATATTAGGATTGATGAACTAGATTGGCATTTAAAATGTCAACTTATGCTGGACTTCTGCCAGCATTTCTACATGTTTAACTGGAAATAAATGGCAGCATGTCAGGTTCACCAATCTGACCCCTAAAAAGGCCATAGTGGCCAAAGATTAGGCACCAGCACATTAGAATCTGGGTGGCTTCTCCTTGAGGTAGCCTGGGTTCAGAAAGACAGCCTGGGCCTTCTGAAAATCAAAAGACAAACTACGGAAAGAACAAAGAAGGCCTCCTTTGAACCACACGGAAATAATGAAGTGAGCTTATGTAGGATTTTTCAGTCTTGAAATTCAGTTTCTCTCACCACCATTCTGCCCCCATTCTCACCCCTGTTCCAGTCCTATTACTACGATGAAGAGACGGAAGCACCTCTTTATCTCCCCTTCTTTGAAGACCAAATTGAGGTGAAGAAAGAACATGCAAAGCAGTTCATAACCTATCTCAGAGAGCATCGGAGTAAAATCTGCCTTCCGGTGATTAAGGTGACTGTGTGACTTTGTTACTTTGTTAGGATCAACTCCACGGGTCCAGAGAGCTAAATGATTAGTTGCTACCTAACTTGTAAGGTTACTCATGTTCTTAGATGGGATCATAGCAATGGACTTTGAGGGCAAGCATGTGTCTTATTTGTAATCTCTTCATATTTTGTGAGTAAATCTTAGCCACCAAAAGCTTGTTTGGTTTTTCTTTCTTTTTTTTTCTTTCGGTTTTTATTTATTTAAGTAATCTCTACAGCCAACGTGGGGCTCAAACTCATGACCCTGAGAACAAGAGTCTCATGTTCTTCCCACTGAGCCAGGCAGGGGCCCCTTTGTTTGTTTGTTTGCTTGTTTGTTTGTTTGTTTTAATGGACCAACAGCATCAGCAGCACATAGGAACTTAATAAAACTGAAAATTTATGGACCCAAACGGGACAAACTGATTCAGATTCTCTAGGGGTGGGGCCCAAGGAATGGTATCTTAACAAGCTTTCCAGGTGATTCTAATGCTCTGCATAGTTTGAGAAGCACTCCTCTAATGACTTCTTCCTAAATGTGTTAGTATCTTATGTTAGATCTTTAGTCTAATTCAGATGCACGCTCAGGTATCTAATATGGCTATATTCAATGTAGTAAAACAAATTCTTTTTCACTGGGACATACACTCCAAAAGGATCATCTAAACCTTAACTGGGGGTATTATGTGTAGAAACAGTCCTACTAATCTGACAGGTTCTTTTAACTCCAGCTTTATAAAGAGAACTAAATGTCTAGTAGTAATAGAACTGAACCGCCATCATGGAATCCCAAAGCCCATGTAACTGTACTGGTAGTAGTCAAGCTTTGTAATAAATTAAAGTTACATGGGGGGCTTTTAAAAATCTCGATACCCAGTTACACCCCATACCAATTAAGCCAGAATTTCTGCATTTGAGAGCCAGACATGAGTATTTAAGATTCGCTGCTGATTCCATTGTGCCACAAAGTTTGGAAACTACTAGCCTATGTAAACCTAGTCATAATGGAACCCAGGGTGTAGAGTGTAATAAAGTTTCTGAGGTAGAAAAGTGACTTCCTTGTTCCTCTTCAACAGAGGCCTGACATTGATAACTGGGGAACTGGCATTCAAGCTATAGAGTCTGCTCTGCAGTTGGAAAACACATTAAACAAGCTCCTACAAGACCTGATGAACTTGGCTTCTCAAAATAGTGAAACTGATGTAAGTAGTTAACTCTGAAAGCAAGGTTATCTTTCACTTCTGTGAAGACTTCTAAGAAATGGGTCCAAAAAAATAGATCGTCCCATATGTGCTTATTTTCCTCAAGCACATACATGAACTCATTTCTGGGAGTAGGTTGGTGTGGGAAGAGTAGGTGTACCGGCAAGGAGGAGTGCAACTCAACACAAGATGGAGAAGACTTTCTGGGAATGATCCACTCTAGATAATGTTGCTGGCTTGTAAATGTCTTAGACCAAAAGTGCTTACGTTTTAATGCATAACAGAATCACCTGGAGGATTTACTAAAACAAACTGCTGGGCCCTGTTCCCCCCCCCCCCCCCCAGAGTTTTTAATTCAATTTGTTTTATGTAGTATCCAAGAATTTGCATTTCTAACAAGTTTCCAGGTGATGTTGCTGGTCAGGGGCTACACTTTGAGAACCACTATCCTTGAGTGTCCCTGAAAAACTGAATATTAATGATGACCCCTTATCCTATAGACTTTTCTGAAGTCTTCTTGGTTGATGGTGAACACTCTACCTTGTAGTGGTAACTTTGTTGCCAACTCCCTAGGTTCTCAGAGTCAGTGGGAAAAAAAAAAGTCCTAATACAAAAGTTATCAACCTTAGAAGATACTGGACTCACTGACAAGTTCTGAAAAGCTACAAATGACTGGGTGTTATGCTAGACCACTTAAATCTAAAACTTTAGGAATGGGGCCTGGGTGCCTACTCAAAACCTCCATGTGATTCAGATAAACAGGGTAGAAAACCATTGCAGTAGGAGCTCATTACTTAAATTAATCTGTACTTCTGAGGAGATGCTCTAACACTCATATTCATTAAAAGTGGATATTTGTACTCCCCTAGCGGTCTTGAATGTCTTCAACCAGTGCTCTTTAGATTTCAATATGCATATGAATAGCCTAGTTCCTTCTTAAAATCTGATCTCTTAGGTCTGGGTGAGGCTTGAGATTCTGCATTTCTGGCAAACTCCCAGGACTGTTGGTCCACGCACTATAAGTTGGGTAGCAAGATCTTAGATCATCTCCCATTGCAGACAAAGGTCTTCAATTAGTCCTTCCCGGTTTTATTTTTGTAGCTCCTAAACTTCCTGAAAAAGTTCCTGGCTAAACAGAAAAGGAACATAAACTATCTGGAATACCAACGTAGCTATCAGAAGGAATTAGACAGGCTGACTGAGAAGGAGGTCACACCTGAAAAACCTGGTGAAGCATCAGGTAAAGAGGCTTAACATCTGAAGGCGACAGTGAATGTTCCACTGTAATAGGTTTCAAAGGCAGCTACTTAAGAATCTTGATCTCTATTTGACAGAAGACTGCTTTCCTTTTTATCTAGTATCCCATCTTCATTGTTACACGTGGAAATAAATTGGTTTTGCATTATAATTATGTGTTAAATTGCTATTGGAGTACAAGAAGGGTTATTTCCATCAATGTGAGTTTGGCGAAAGCTTCCTGGAACAGTGGGTACGTTCCCACTGAAAAAAAAGCCTTCCCTCATAGTTCAAACACCCAGATGCACAGTCAGGATTTGATAAATTCAACCAGTCCAAGTGGATATAATAGAAAGTAGTAATTTCCTTAGGTCTTACTATAGCTCCCCTCCCCTCTAGCTTGGATACCTATTTTAAGTCTAGAAAATAGGAGGGTTTTCTCCTAATTGAATGCAAAGCTAACAAGAGCTCTTGGTCTAGAAATGGTGACTCCCACCTGAAAGTGTACAGGGGATAGGCAGCTGCAACCAAAGTGTCCTTTCACAGCTGAAGGTAGGCGTAGCAAATAGGAGGGTACACAGGCAATGAAGGCACTGAAGACTATGGGGATGCCCTTACCCTCTCCACTGTGGGCCAGCTGGCAGCTACCAGCATAATTGCTTAGGAGGAAATAATGAGTATGGAAGCTTGGGTCAGACCCAAGGGCCTCATGTAACTCGTATACAACCTGGGAAGAAAGGTCGCTCTATAGGATTACGTTGTCACTCCAAAACTTACTAGCTCCAAGGCCTTGAATAAAATTTTTACTTCAATCATAGACTCACTTTAGTTGTCTATGGAGTGGGGTTAATAGTATTTAGTTTATAGTTAATAAGAGGATTAAGCAAATTAATATGTAAAATATGTAGAACAGTACCTACTCAGATTATGTATTCTGTTTGTAAAATAATGTACATTCTTTTTAAATTTTTTTTAAGGTTTATGTATTTTTGAGAGTGAGAGAGAGACAGAGTGTGAGTGGGGAGGGGCAGAGAGAGAGGGAGACACAGAATCCGAAGCAGGCTCCAGGCTCTGAGATGTCAGCACAGAGCCTGACACGGGGCTCGTACCCACAAACTGCGAGATCATGACCTGAGCTGAAGTCAGATGCTTAACTGACTGAGCCACCCAGGCACCCCAAAATAGTGTAAATTCTTAAACTTGAGGAAAGTCAATATATGACAGAAGCAATTACAAGAAAACAGGTCACTGAAAGTGAGGTAAAATCTTGGGGGGAAAAAAAGGAATATTTTTTTGAAGCAAGAAAAAGTGATAAGGGCCAATTAGATATCTTAGGGTAAAAAGAAATCAAGTTAACAAATGGACTGAATATTCAAACACAGCTAATCAAGCAAGTGATTTAAAGGTAAGAAATTCTCAGCCAAAGGAACAAAGAAATGGTACTTGAGATGTTAAGACATGTAGTTCGAACAAAAGATCTAATTAGAGTTCTGGGAGGAAAGAGAAAGTGAGGAAAAAGATCCATTGTAGTGAAATTTTACAGCATCAAGAATAAAAAAGCTCCCCATAAAAGAGATTATAAAGAATGAAAACTGACATATTAACAGCTTTCTCATCAATATTAGATGAAAAGAGACAATTGAAAAATGTCTTCAATATGCTAATGAGGAAAAATAAGAGTTGAGTCTGACCCATTCATACATAAAAATATTAAGTACACAGAAGTTTCTAACCTAAAGAGGACCTTCACTGCGAATGATATCATTGTTTCAATGGCAAAATAGAAAGGGGTGCAGGTCCAATGTAATCTAGGTGATACTAACTAATCTTTCATAGTACTTTATGCTTTAGTAATTCCAGTGAGGAAGGGCATGTCCCTTGGCAATCATCAACCACATAATGGACTTCTTTACCTACCTTCTCACACCTCTTCTATAACTTCCTCTTTTTGAGAACCACTGCCATGATTAACTTATCACCACTGGAGAATTACTAGTTCACAAAGTATTCTTGAATAAATTCCTTCTTTTATAATTCTAACTATGTCAAATTTTATCCCTAATAATGATAGACATTCACATTAAAATCAGGAATAAGACAAGATTGCTTTAACTTCAACACTACTTTGTATGTTACTAGAGGTTCTGGAGCAGGGTTTCTCAATCTCAGCACTGTTGACATTTTGAGCCAAATGACTCTGTTGTGGGGAGGGTCCTACCCATTGCAAAATGTCTAGCAGCACCCTCGGCCTTCACTTACCAGATAGCCGTGACAATCAGAACTGTTTCCAGACATTGCTAAATGTCTGAGGGGCAAAGTCTCTCTGCTTGAGAACCACTATTCCGAACAATGCAATAGAAAAACTAAAGGAAAAGAAGCTATATCTGCTTAAAAAGACTTAGTTAATGTGGTATGATTATAACTAGAACTGAAAAACTATTATAACTTACAAGAAAGTTTAATAATGTTGCTGGATATAGGAAAAATATTTACAAGCCAATCTTTCCCATGATCAATAAACAGGGAAACATTAAAAATATATTTCTTGCTTATAATATCCACAAATACATAAAGTACCTAGGTCTAGGAATAATCCTTAAAAAGTAACTTGAAGACTATATGAAATAAAAATGCTTCCTGAAAAAGATAAAAGCTTTGTATAATGGAAAGAGGAGAGAAAGATTAAATTTGTGACACCTTCCAAATCAATGTATAGGACTAAAGCAATTTGGATCATAATCCCAACAGTATTTTGAGGGTTCAGACAATTTAGTACTAAGAAATAAGCATCACAGAGAAAAACATGAGAACATACATAAAACTTGCTTAACATCATTGAGACATACAAAGACCAGAAAGAGATACTAACTTACTACCTACTCATCAGAGTGGCTAAAATTAAAATAACTGTCAACACCCATGTGCTGGCAAGATGATAAAACAATTGAAACTCTCAACATTGTTGGTGAGAACAAGTGGGGCAACTGCTTTGGAAAACAGTAGGATATTTCCTTGTAAAACTAAGCATACATGTACCCCATGAATTTTTGGAGAACACAGTTTATTCCAAAACAAATGATATTATTGACTAAAATTGGGCACAGCAAGCTATAGAGAAAAGATAGGAGGAAGAAGTTAACTCAAGTTAACTCACTTGATGCTCATAATAGGAATCAACAGATATTGTCTGAATAAAGAGGGTTCTAAGAGTATTATATAAAAGGCTAATTATAAAGGCAGGCACTAGAATAAAAATATATTAAGAATTACAATTTTTAACATAATAGCCTCCATATTGAAAATTTATATAAATAAAATGTTCATATGTATATTTTATTTTGTTCCCCTTAAGTTAGCTCTTGTTTTAGCCCTTGTTCAAATGTTCACCCAGAGTCTTTTTGCTGAAGTTTCCCTGATCATCTTTTGAATGAATGAATTTTGTTCTATGGGAGATGCTTCAGTAAGACCGAATGTAGACAGTATTCCCCAAGTCCTTGAATTTGCAGAAATTGTTGCCTATAGCTTTGACACTTGAAGGACAGCTTGAATGGATTTAAAATTGTTGGTTCAAACTTCCTTTCCTTAGGTATCTGATAGGTATTGTTTCATTTCTGTTAGAATGGACTATAGCTGTGCCAACGTGGCTTTCTTTCACTTCGAAATAAGAGGTGCCTGGGGCACCTGGGTGGCTCTGTCAGTTGAGCGACGAACTTCAGCTCAGGCCATGATCTCAGGTTCATGAATTTGAGCCCTGCAGTGGGCTCTGTGCTGACAGCTCAGAAGCTGGAGCCTCTTTTGGATTCTGTGTTTCCCTGTCTCTCTACCCCTTCC